TGACTGTTTTGCCCAAGACAGTAGAAATAGCAACTGAGAAGATCTTGCTGAATGCTGGTTGTTGGAGAAGGCAAGTGGCTCTCCTTGGCTGGCCAATAAATAGGAAGGAGGTCAAGAAGGAAAGCAGGAGGGAGACAAGGAGGATGTAGGAGAGGTCTCGATTGTTAGCTTTGACTATGGGAGTTTCTTGGAATTTAATGAAGATTCCCAAGATTAAGCTTGTTACCAAAGACAGGAACAAGGCAAGGGAAGCTAGGATCATCCCAAAATTTTCTTGATAGGATAAGAAAGTGTCAATCTTCGGTATACAGTCAACTCGGTTGATATTTGGATGCTGATCTGCTGGACATTTGGTGCATTTTTCAGCATCTGAAAATAGCAAGATTAACATCTACCATAAAGCAGGTTCTTCCATCAGATGCATAGTTGGAGTGAAACTGGTGATGGTGTGGATGAATGTGTGTGGAGAAATGCATTATACTGCAAGGGTTAGGAATTTTAAGTTGTTATTTCACCTTTCCAGGAAGAGCTGTGTCTCCTATTAGAGGTTCCATCGTTTGCATCCCATATTCCCTGAATCGCCTTTTAGAGATGAAATACAAAGCCCTCCATAGCCCTCCACCAACGATCCTTGGACAGATGATCATTGGGACCTCCTATACTGGACTAGTTCAAGCACAGGAACGAGTAGAAGGTTGGACTCAAGGCCCCAGTGGCCCCTTCTAGCTCTGATTCTTTTAAGAGTGAAGATATTTCTCCAATAAACTCAGCTGCTAGCCTTCATGTTTAAACTAGCTTTTAGGGAAGCTGATTTAATAAATTCTCCTTTGCAAATGTCAATGCCCTCTCCCCTTTGACCAAGGAGATGGCCAGGTCTTCTGTCTGGACAGCAGTTCCCTGGCTGGTGGATTCCACTGTTCTTTGTCCTCCCACCCATGCCAGGAAAGGAAGCACCAATGGCTTCTATCTCCTTGGGCATCTTTCTTGAGGGCTGATGGAGAAAAGCCAGCCTCAGTTTTACTGTTCTTCCTGTGACTCCAGCTAGAAGGAGAAACTGTTGTCAGTTTCACCCACTTAAAAATAGAGAAGGTCCCTCGTCTCTCATCAGGGAACTTCTTAAAAGAAAAAGAAAAGAAAAGAAAAGAAAGAAAGAAGAAAGAAAAAAGAAGAAAGAAGAAAGAAGAAAA